GAGACAGGCCAGTCCTTGCCTACAGACAGCCCCCCAATGTGAAGCAAATACTCACCAACAACCACATACCACACAACAGAACCACTAACCCAGGAACCTATCCTTGCAACAAAGCCCGTTGCCAACTGTGCCCACATATCTATTCAGGGGACACCATCACTGGGCCTAATAACATCAGCCACACTATCAGAGGCTCGTTCACCTGCACATCCACCAATGTGATATATGCCATCATGTGCCAGCAATGCCCCTCTGCCATGTACATTGGTCAAACTGGACAGTCTCTACGTAAAAGAATAAATGGACACAAATCAGATGTCAAGAATTATAACATTCATAAACCAGTTGGAGAACACTTCAATCTCTCTGGTCACGCGATTACAGACATGAAAGTTGCGATATTACAACAAAAAAACTTCAAATCCAGACTCCAGAGAGAAACTGTTGAATTGGAATTCATTTGCAAATTGGATACAATTAATTTAGGCTTGAATAGAGACTGGGAGTGGCTAAGTCATTATGCAAGGTAACCTATTTCCCCTTGTTTTTTCCTACTCCCCCTCCCCCCTTCCCGGACATTCTTGTTAAACCCTGGATTTGTGCTGGAAATGGCCCACCTTGATTATTATACACATTGTTAGGAGAGTGGTCACTTTAGATAAGCTATTACCAGCAGGAGAGTGGGGTGGGGGGAGGTATTTTTTCATGCTTTGTGTGTATAAAAAGATCTTCTACACTTTCCACAGTATGCATCCGATGAAGTGAGCTGTAGCTCACGAAAGCTTATGCTCAAATAAATTGGTTAGTTTCTAAGGTGCCACAAGCACTCCTTTTCTTGATATAAAAATGTCTGCCTTTAGTAGCTGTTGTTTAACATCCTCCAGAGATACTAGAGGAATGGAAAATTGTTATCACCATATGAATAGAGACAGGTTTCAGAGGAACAGCCGTGTTAGTCTGTATTCGCAAAAAGAAAAGGAGTACTTGTGGCACCTTAGAGACTAACCAATTTATTTGAGCATGAGCTTTCGTGAGCTACAGCTCACTCACGAAAGCTCATGCTCAAATAAATTGGTTAGTCTCTAAGGTGCCACAAGTACTCCTTTTCTTCATATGAATAGACTGAATCAACTTTTTCTTCCCCAAATACAGAACAGAAATATGTACTGAAACAGAAATATGTAGGCTTTCCTGCATTTTTGTTAATTCTACCATTTCCATCTAGCACTGGACCAATTTCATAGGATTATTTTTATTCCTAATATATATCTTATTGTCCTTAACATTGTTGGCCATAAATTTCTCCTTGTGTCCTTTGATTCCCTTGTCAATTCACTACAATTCCTAACTTCTGATTTATATTCATTACTATCAACTTTCCCTTTCTTCCATTTGTTATCTTATAGTTTTCTTCACTTCCCCTCTAAACCAGGTCAGTGTTTTAACCAGTATGGCCATTTCCCTCGATTGTGGCTTTTTGGGCATCTAGTAAGATAGTCTTAAATGATTCCCAATATCATTTACATTTTTCTGATTAAATTCTTCTTTCCTGCTGGTTTGGCTCATATTTTTTCAGCTGTGTGAAACTGGTCCTATTAAAGCACCAAGTGTGTGTGTATATTACTGGTCTGGACTTCATTCTATTTGCACATTATAAATGTGATCGAGTTCCAATGGTTAATCACCCTCACTGCTAAAAAATTATGCCTTATTTCTAATTTGAATTTGTCTGGCTTGTTTCCAGACATTGTTTCTTGCTCTGCCTTTCTCTGCTAGAGTACCCAGTCTTTCCTCCCTGTGGGGGTACTTGAACACTGTAATCAAGTCACCTCTCAATTGTCTTTTTGATAAACTAAACAGATTGAGCTCACTAAGTGTCTCAGTATAAGGCATGTTCTCCAGCCCTCATATTTTTGCGGTTCTTTTCTGCAGCTGCTTCAATTTTTCAACATGATTCTAAAAATGTGGATACCAAAACTGTATGGAGTATTCTAGTATTGATCTCATTAACAGTGCACACAAAGGTAAACTCATCTCCTTGCTCCAACTCATCACTCCCTGTTTATGCATTCAAGGACTGCATTACCATTTTTTGCCACAGGATCACACTGGGATCTTCTGTTCTGTTGCTTGTCCACTGTGGCCCCTAAATCCTGTTCTGTCACTGCTTTCCAGGAAACGATCCTCCACTCTGTAGGTATGGCCTGCATTTTATTTGAATGGACCCAGTTTACTAAGTGGTCCAGATCACTGTATGTGACTGTCCTGTCCTCATCTACCAATCCGCCAATCTTTTTGCCATCCACAAATGTTACCAGCCATTGGGTAATTGAAGCTTGAGCAGGCATAATGTACGGGTTACCTAAAATCCAAAGGACTGATATGCTGCAACCCAATTGGATAAAGATTATGTATAAAAAACCTAAGTGAACATGGGCTCAAACTGGAGATACACTAGAGCAGAAACTAAAGAATGGGACTGAAGGACCAGATCGAGGGATCAGAGAAGGCGATAACTATCATGTAAGATGGAAGTACTTCCTAATGCCGCAGAATGTGGTAACTTGGGCCCATTTACCAATTCTGTCTTGTCTGTTATTGCCATAAATGTATGGCCAGACACTATAAGTGCCAATAATTCTGTCTGAAGTAGTATAGAGGTGAAAATTGATTTAAGACTAAATTGTGAAAATAGGGGTTTGTGTGCAGACTAATGCCCCACTGCTGTTTGAGAAACCTATTGCTGCAAATCCATCCATGTCCTGCACATTGCTGAGTCACAGTCCTGCACAGCAGATGGTTAGTGGCCCTGCACACTTGCACGACAATCACATAGCTTGTGTTGGCCAGTTTGTAGTGTAGACATGGCCTTATGTGCCTCACACTGGCACAGCTATGCTAGTCAGCGGTGTGAAAAAAATACACCGGCAGTGACACAGCTAACTAACTTAGGTGGCTGTATACCACCTCCCTAGCTCAGTATATTTCGGTTTTCCCTAGCCCAGTTCAGAATGTTCACTTTAGAGCCCAGAGAGGAAAAAGCATTGCCAGCTGCCTTCACCATAGGGTGATCCTACCCCTGTAGTGCCATGTCATGAGCACAGTGTGCACAGCAGCAGAGTTGCCATGGCACCCATACATCCTGCAGAAGAACCAGTCACCCCCCCAGTGATCTGAAGGAGCAGGGCATCATCCCTGCAGACAGCTCCTTTCCCAGATTAACGAACAGCCTAGCTAGCAAGGTTAACAATCAAGTCAAAGGTCTGTAGCATTTGAGGGATAATATTCTAACACAAGGGTTCTCAAACTGGAGGTCAGGACCCCTCAGGGGATCACAAGGTTCTTACATTGGGGGTCACGAGCTGTCAGCCTCCACCCCAAACCCCACTTTGCCTCCAGCATTTATAATGGTGTTAAATATATTAAAAGTGTTTTTAATTTATAAGGGGGAGTCTCACTCAGAGGCTTGCTATCTGAAAGGGGTCACCAGTACAAAAGTTTGAGAACTTCTGTTCTAACAGGTCTCCATGGGTATTGTGAAGCTCCCATAAGCTCCTGTATTAGCTGACAGTCTCAGCAGCTGGGCATTTTGTGTCACCAGATGGGCATCTCATTTACAGTGGATGAGGAGTTACCATCTATAACCACCACTGGATGAGTGACAGGGGGGTTGCTCTCAACAGCTCTAGAGAAGGAGCAGAGTGGCAAGTGCATACCCCCTCATCTCAGCAAAGGGCCCAGGGAAAGGTTCTTCCCAACTGAAGAAGGGGCAGAGAGCAGGAGTAGCAGACAGATACAGATTCAATGCCCAAAAGAGTTGCTGCAGTCTCACTAAGGTCTCCTCTTGGGATACCCTTGTGTACATCTTAAAAACTGAAGCCTCAGAGAGAAGGCATCAGACACCATAGTAAAAATCACAGTATAATAATCTAGATAGGACAGAAGAGAAGCAGCAGAAAGCAGCTAATGCATCACTTTATGCAGCCTGAATTGGGCTGCCGGGGGGGTGGAGGGCAGCCATTCTAAAAGACTGAATCGCTGTAAGACTCATATTCTAGCCCCTTGTCCATATACCTTTGATCAGGCTCCCCCATCCCGAAGTCAATACACTCTAGCTGCCTGAACTCCCCTATGCATGCTCTCCCAGGACTACGTCTCCTTCCATGCATGTTCACCAGCCATGTCTGGCTCCTGACAAACACACATCTGAATGGGACTAAGCAACTGTTAGCTCACCCTCACTGGGTCCATGACTTCTGTAAGATATTTGACTTAGTTGGGTGAGGTAATATCTTTTACTAGACCAACTTCTGTTGGTGAGAAACACAAACTTCAAGCCACATGGAGTTCCTCTTCACCTGACAAAGAGCTCTGTATGGCTCAAAAGTTTGTCTTCCTCACCACCTGAAGTTGATCCAATAAAAGATATTATCTCACCCACCTTGTCTCTCTAATATCCTGGGACCGACAGCTACATCTACACTGAATTTAAATTAGTTGACATTCAGATTTAGTACAGGGTCACCCTATGGTGAGGGCAGCTGGCAATTTTTTCCCCCCTCTGGGCTCTAAAGTGAATTTTCAGCATTGGGCTAGAGAAGCTGCATCTTAATGGAGTGAAAGAATAGGAATCCCAAGAGGAAAACATAGTACACCACTAACAAGCCAGGGTTCAAGAGGTATTTGTGTGATTGCAGCAGTGAACACATCTGGGAATCCAAGTGTGTCAGAGAATGGGGACAGTGCATACATTAATATGCAGTCAAGGCATTCTTGTTCTGATTCAGGTCTCTTATTTACAACTTATTTCCAGTTGTTCCTATGACCCTACTGTAATTTTCATCCCCTGCTCCCAACAGCGCTTTGGGTGAGTTTTATGTGGCTAAGTGTAGATTGGCAGTAATCTTATAGTTCCCTCCCCGTCACGCCCACAACCCACTCTGTGGGAGTGTCACTGTACCATATGAGAAGAAACTTGTGATAATTTGTGAGGAACCAAGTTAATTTGCATGGGAAGAAACTTTAATTACTTTTCCTATGAAACCAAATTTTTCAATTGCCCTGCCCGCCCCTTGGCCTCACACACCCATCTTTCCCAGGGCAGGACTGGGGCTGGGAAGGAGGGTGAAGGTGCAAGTGTTAAGGTGCTGGGGAACCACTAGTAGCTTCTGGTCCTTCAGGTGCTATTGGCCTGTTCCTGCTCAAAGAGGGCCATGGCCAGGTGCGAGCGGGAGGAGAGCCCCTCCAGGTTACTGAGCACACAGCGGTGATACAGTTCCTCGCTCAGCCGGGGGTTGCAGCTCCTCAGCATATATTTCTGCACCAGCCCTGGCTCCACAGCCCGGAACAGGTGCAGGCCAGAGTAGCGAAGGAAGACATCAAATACTTCCATGCTCTCCAGCACTTCGTCCCGGTCCAAAATGTCAGCTGCCAGCTTGGTGCGTGCTGCCATGTAGTCAGAGTTGTAGAAACAAGCCTCAGCAAAGGCATGACGGTCAAAGTGCCCATCCCTCAGGAAGTCAGTGCTGGAGGAGGAGGCCTGCTCGCCATGGTACATCAGCACTGGGTTGAACTCCTGGAAGTGCATTGGGAAGAAGACCTGCCAGTTGCTGATGGTGTTCATGCGGCAGCGATTCAGGAACTCTGTGTTAACCTCTGTCCAAACGCTGGCCAAGAAGAAGAGGGTGTCCACAGGGTGCTTCTTTGACACTATGTCCATGAGCTTCACCTGGGATGGCACCTCAGTTTTTACGCTGATCCAGGGGATTTTCACCTCTGCATACCGTTTTTCCAGCTCTCCCACCATAGCTTTGACCCCAGCAAAGACATCCAGCTGGCTGACCCGCTGAGCATCATAAGGCTGGTAGATGAAGAGCAGGGTTAGCAGGGCATTGTCATGTGTGTCCAGCGTGTTCATGGCAAACGTGTCCAGGAAGTTGCTGACAAAGTCCACCTCCTGCACAGTCAGGGGCAGCACCAGCTGCACGCGTGTGGCCTCTGTCACATAGGGCATGGGGATGATCTCTACCTTGCTGAGGGGCCGCACTAGACTCACCCGCTTAGCCAGAACATGGCTGTGGCCCTTCTGGGTTACAGCCTCCAGCAAGAGATCCAGCATGTACTCCATGCCCCGTGTGGGGTCAAAGCGCCGGTAGCCATTCAGCAACTGTTGCTTGTAGAAACGAAGCTGGGGCTGGTAACGGCTGTTGAGATGCTGGAGTGCTGCCTCAATGATGTCACTAACATCGGCCTTGCTGGCTCCAGCCAGCTCACATTTGGGGGAGCCATCGGGACAGGAAAAGAGGTGCTGCTCTGTGAAGTAGTCCCAGCTAATCACCTCAAAGCGGGATTTGGGGACAAAGGGAGCATTGATGCCTATGGGCCATGTCAGCCCCCCCTCGCGGGCTGGTGTCAGCGATGTCAGATTCCTGATCTGCATCTGTGAAGAAAGTACACTGCTATTTATAGCATCATACGTGTAGGGCTGGAAAGGACCTTGAGAAGTCACCTAGTCCAGTCCCCACGCTGAGGCAGGATGAAGTATACCCCAAACCATCCCTGACAGGTATTTGTCCAACTTGTTCGTAAATACGTCCACTTTCCTTGGAAGCCTGTTCCAGAGCTTAACTACCCTTATAATCAGATTTTTTCTAATATCTAACCTAAATCTACCTTGCTGCAGATATTAAGCCCTTTACTTCTTGTCCTACCTTCAGTGGACATGGAGAACAATTGATCCCCATGCTCTTTATAACAACCCTTAACATATTTGAAGACTGTTATAAGGTCCCCCCACCCTTAGTCTTCTTTTTTCAAGAGTAAACATGCCCACTTTAACCTTTCCTCAGGTTTTCTAAATCATAGAATCATAGAATATAAGGGTTGGAAGGGACCCCAGAAGGTCATCTAGTCCAACCCCCTGCTCGAAGCAGGACCAATTCCCAGTTAAATCATCCCAGCCAGGGCTTTGTCAAGCCTGACCTTAAAAACCTCTAAGGAAGGAGATTCTACCACCTCCCTAGGTAACGCATTCCAGTGTTTCACCACCCTCTTAGTGAAAAAGTTTTTCCTAATATCCAATCTAAACCTCCCCCACTGCAGCTTGAGACCATTACTCCTCGTTCTGTCATCTGATACCATTGAGAACAGTCTAGAGCCATCCTCTTTGGAACCCCCTTTCAGGTAGTTGAAAGCAGCTATCAAATCCCCCCTCATTCTTCTCTTCTGCAGGCTAAACAATCCCAGCTCCCTCAGCCTCTCCTCATAACTCATGTGTTCCAGACCCCTAATCATTTTTGTTGCCCTTCACTGGACTCTCTCCAATTTATCCACATCCTTCTTGAAGTGTGGGGCCCAAAACTGGACACAGTACTCCAGATGAGGCCTCACCAATGTCGAATAGAGGGGAACGATCACGTCCCTCGATCTGCTCGCTATGCCCCTACTTATACATCCCAAAATGCCATTGGCCTTCTTGGCAACAAGGGCACACTGCTGACTCATATCCAGCTTCTCGTCCACTGTCACCCCTAGGTCCTTTTCCGCAGAACTGCTGCCTAGCCATTCGGTCCCTAGTCTGTAGCTGTGCATTGGGTTCTTCCGTCCTAAGTGCAGGACCCTGCACTTATCCTTATTGAACCTCATCAGATTTCTTTTGGCCCAATCCTCCAATTTGTCTAGGTCCTTCTGTATCCTATCCCTCCCCTCCAGCGTATCTACCACTCCTCCCAGTTTAGTATCATCCGCAAATTTGCTGAGAGTGCAATCCACACCATCCTCCAGATCATTTATGAAGATAAATATTTTATCCTTTTTATCACTCTTCTCTGGACTTTAATTTGTTCACATCTTTCCTAAAGTGTGGCACCCAACACTGGGCACAGTACTCCAGCCGAGGCCTCACCAATGCCAAGTAGAGTGGGACAAATATCTCCCATGTGTTACACATGACACTCCTATTACTACACCCCAGAATATTAGCCTTTTCACAACTGCATCCCATTGTTGGCTCATATTGAATTTATAATCCACTATAACCCTCAGATACTTTTCAGCAATACTACCACCTAGTCAGTTATTCCCTATTTTGTATTCTTCCATTTGATTTTTCTAACTCAAACCCTACCATGACATTGCCCCTATTTTCTTTCCCTTTTATCTTAACCCAGCAGCTTTCAACTTATCTGCCTCTTACCTCCTTGTGGACTCAAAACAAGTGTATGTATTCTCGCTGTGTAATGCAACATTTCCTCTCTTTCGCCCCATCTTTCCTTCCTGAACAAGCTATACCCTCTATACCAATATTCCAGTCATGAGATTTATCCCACCAAGTCTGATGCTAATTAAGCCATAACTTAGCTTGTGTACTATTACATCCAGTTCTTCCTGTTTATTCTCCATACTCCTTGCTTTTGTGTATAGACATCTATAATGTTGAGCAGATTCCTTCACTGTTTTCCCTCTTGTTGTTCCTATGACCCTACTGTAATTTTCATCCCCTGCTCCCAACAGCTAGCCCTCTGTTAAGGTCACCTTTTTTTTTTTTTATATCTACTTGTGGGCTTTTGTCAACTGCCCCTCTGAATCTAGTTTAAAGCTCTCCTCACTAGGTTGGTGAGTCAGTGTCTGAAGATGCTCTTCTCCTGGAGAGGCAAGTGGTCTGGTCCCTCTTTCTGCCCCGCTCTCCAACCCCAGAGGGGCAAATGGCCTGATCCCTCCTCTCTACCTAGAGCTTCCTGAATCCTTGGTGGTCCAGGACAGTAGTGATTCTGATACCACACCCTCCTTGTGCAGGGGCTATTTCCATAGAGGAGTCTGCCACTGCCTGGCTGTCAGAGATTCTCTGTTCCCTCACAGACCTGAAAAAAAGAGATCATGTCTAACCTCACTCCATCTCTGTCTTAGGTTCCCCATCAGTGTTCCCCCACCCACATACCTGGAGTTGCTGGATCTCCTGGTAGGCTCTGTCCAGCTGGATCCTGCTGAAATGCTTGTGCAGTCGGTACATGAGGGTCCCCTCAGAGACAGGGTGCACAGTGAGCGCCACCTGGAAGTCCTCACCCTCCTCCTTCTCTAGGTCTGCATTTTTGGCCAGTTCATAGGAGCGGTAATGCTGGCCCTGAAATGGATAAGACTCAGGGAGACTGGTTAGGAACCCTGGGACTCACACTGGGTCCTCCCTCCCCCACCCACTCACTCTGAAGGGGGTGAGACCCAGAGAGATAAACATGTGGGCACGAGAGGTTGTTTCACCCTCTGCTCCTCACTTCATTGGTCATAGGAGAATTCAGATCTCCTTGTTGTTTCTTTCTATCCCAGGCTGCTTCCCACCCCCTTGAAAAACTGTGAAATTGATGAAATCTGACTAAATCTGTTCTCTCAAATGTCAGTCTAGCTCCACTTCCCAAGTGCTGAGGGTGAAGCTGGGCTCTTGTTCCATGCTGCTACCCCACACTTTCTTTCTTCCCAGTACTTCGCAGCATAGGTTTGGGGGCACTCACCCCTTTACCCTATGACACAGGCTTGTGAGGGTGTGGAGTCTATTGGGTTGAGGCTGTGCCCTAAATCCTGGAGGGACAATACCTGGTGCTGGGAGATGCAACTGATGCCCAGGAAGTCGATGATGCAGCGTCCCAGCCATTCATCCGGGCGCACACTGAGAATCTCATTACGGCAGCTGTCCAGATGCTGATGCAACTTGAGCAGCAGGCTCCGGGAAACCAAGTAGCCAAAGCCACCATGGCAATAGCGGGCCTGTTCATCCCCCCCAATGAACTCCTCAGCCCGTCCTAGGTAAACATCCTGATTAATGCTTAGGTGTGTCACCAGGGCCTTGATCTGCTCGGCCTGGGCATAGGTGTCATCCTGCATGACATAGAACCAGTCATAGTCACCCCCAAAGTGCTGATGGATGTAGCGCATGGTCTCATACATCAGCCAGACGGGGCGTTCGTCCCCATGTGACACCAATGCCATGCCATGCGGCACCTTGGCACTACGCAACCCCGTAAAGTATAGCAAGTGTGGGAAGTGATGGGCCACGGTCTTGTTCACTGCCACAGCCAGTGTGTTCATGGTTGCCTTGGAGGTGAGCACAGCCACAAAGAGCCGTTCATGGAAGCCCAGCTCTGTCTGGATATAGCGAGTCCTGCAGGGAAAAGCCATGGTTACAACACAAGCAGCTGGGAGAAGGGATAGATCTGTTTCTTTCCCTATACTCACATCAGAGATAGAGGGGGCACCCATACCCCCTTGATGTTTTGAGTAATCAGATTCCTTTCAAAGCTCTGACTTAGGGCTCAGCTGTGTGTACACATTACTAACAATCTCACATTTTTTAGGCATCTTCCTACTTCACAGAAATCAAAGCCAGTTAGCATCCTAACACTTGTATCCAACTATACAGAGAGATGGCATCACCCACTAATGAAAGATTGCCCCCTCTGGGCTGGGATGCAGCAGTGGTTTAACAGCCACACAGCAATCCTGAACAACAGTTTAGGGCAAGAAGTGAAGCTAACTATTGCATTCAATAGAAATTGTAGGGGGGAAGTTCAAGGGGGCAAAATGTAAATATATGAGAGATCCTTGGATTCCCTGGCGATTACATCTTGACTCCTGCAAAAGTGTCACAGGATCTTTAATGACCACAGATGATCAAGATCTTGCTTTTATATCATACTTGAAAGGTAGCAGTCTGGCAGCACCAGCTCAGAGAGGAAACTGACCCTGAGGGATCTACCCACCCAGCAGTATAGCACCCCTGAGTGCCATACGATAGCATTAGGATCAGCACTCACTAAACAGGGAGTGCACTCACTACCAAGCCCCCAACACTGCTCCCTGAAACCTCTGTTTCCTATCCAAGTACTAGGAACATAGAAATTGCCAGACTGGATCAGACCCAAGGTCCATCTGGTCCACTGTCCTGTCTCTAAGGATGGCCAGCACCACCGGTATCAGAGGAAGCTGCAAGAAGTCTTCTAATCACTAGTAGTTTGACTGGTTTTAACCCTGAAGCATGAGGTTAAATATTTCTTCCAAAATTTATGTTAGCACTATAAGAAGTTTGGCCTCATTAACATCCTGTGGCACTGAGTGAAAAGTATTTCCTTTGATCATTTTTGACTTTCCCACCTTTTAATTTAATTGAATGTCCCCTTTTTTCTTGTGTTTTGAGACAGGGAGAACAGAAGTTGCTGATCTCTCTTTAGACCCTTCATTATTTTATATACTTTAATCATGTCCCCACTTGTCTCCTTCCTGAGGTAACAGTCCCAATCTTTTCAGCCACATCATAGGAAAAGTTTTTTTCATCACCTAATCATTCTTGTCTTCCTTCCCTGAACCCCCTCTATTCTACAATGTGCTGCACACAATACCCAGATGAGGCCATGTCACTGACTTATAGAAATGCATTAATTTTTTTATTATTCTCCATTCCATTCCTGATGTAACTGAACATCTTGTTTGCTTTTTTTGACTGCATCTGCAGACTGAGCAGAGATCTCCATGCAGCTGTCTATAATGACACCAGGTTGCTTTCCTGAATTGATTTTGAACTGTGTAAGGTATGAGTAGGTTTTTTCCCCGCTCCAATGTGTACTGCTTTGCTGTTAGCAACACTGAATTCACTTTGCCATTAAGTTGCCTATTCATCTAGTGTGATACAGTCTCTGAAGTTTCTCATGGTCTGCTCTGGTCTTGACTAATAAAAGTAACATCATCTGCAAATTTTGGTACTTTACTGCTCATCTCTATGGTGAGGTGTCTACCCAACACTGTAATGAAAAGGGTTAAAACTGGAGCTTGGGAGCTCAATTAAAAAGTGCCTGGCCACACCTGCAGGGTTGGCCAGTCACAATGACTCATGAATCTTAACTGAGAGAAGTGGGAATCAGTATAAATAGAGGAAGTCTGTGACAGAAGGGGTGACAGCTGAATTTAGTAGGAGGGGCTTAGTGAGTGTTTTAGGAAAGTGGGGTAACATTAAAAAAGCTCTACTATATTTTTTTAAGGATACTCAGCAGGGTAAGAGAGCGTAGTGGCATGGATGTATGGGGAATATAGTAGGTGATGGTTATACTCAGAAGACGAGTCAGCTTCACCATAAAGCATAAGAAGATGAAGGGTACTGCAGGGAGAGAGTTAGGAACTCTGCAGTTGCTCTCTGGGATCAGAGAATGGAAACAGCCCTGGCAGACATTCAATTGACGACTAAGAGAAGAATAAAAGATCAAGCCTAAGAAGGGTAGGAAGGGATTTAAGCTTACACTTTTACTTTGGGATTTATTGGGGAATTCCAGGAGGGAGCACTGAGAGTCCTAGCCCTGGGAGAAGGGTGAACTCAGACAGGCTGTGGGACAGGCCTCCTTATAGGCTTAGTAAGGAACAGTCCAGGGAAACAGCAGCAAGAAGATTGAGGGATCCATAAGAAGACTTTGCCTCTCACCCCTGGACTATTTAATTTCTTTAGTAGCCTTTTGTGAGACATCTTATCAAAGCCATTTTGAAAGTTGAACTAAGTTGTCAACCGCTTCTCCTTTATCTGCCACTTTTCCACATTCAAATAATTCTAATACATTAGTGGGAGACAATTTTCCTTTGGAGAAACTGTGCTGGTTATACCTTGTCACATCATAATCTTCCAGCCATTTTATTATACTATATTTAATTATAGTTTCAACCAACTAACCCAGTCTGACCCTGTTTAGCCCGTAACAGCTGATGGGACCCCATGTTAGACACAGGTGGTCACCTTCACCTCACAATGACTTGCTCAAAAGGAGCGTCTCTTACCTGAGCACTTTCTTGTAAGGCTTATTGGGGTCTCGGTAGTAGGGAACAATCCTGGGTTTGAAGTCCTCATCATTCTGGCTTGACCTTCCTCCAGGAACAGTGTCCTGCTGCATTTTCCCTGCAAACAGCCCATTATTTACCCCTGTGTCCATGCAAGTATCCTCCCCATCACTCTGGATCCAGGAGACGCGCAGCAGGCTTAGACTGCATCCCAAGGAGAGACCCAGGATGAGTGGCAGTGCAGGCCGCAGGAAGGCAAGGAGAGTAGCCAGACGCATGGCAGAGCTATTGTGAAACAATACGCAGAATCTTCAACAAGAAAGTATCTAGAATCTCAAAAAATCTGGACGAAGGGAGATCTAGAAATGCACCAAAACCTGAGAGAGTTAGAAAACAGTGATCCAGACACATGAGAGGCACGATGTCTCACTTAAAGGCAGTAGTAGGCCACAGATCTAGCTCAGTCATGGGTGTGTAACAGTGTCAGAGGATAAACCACAAAGTTCAGAGAATTTGGCAATATGGCTCATGTTGGAAAGAAAATTAAATGAGCCCCAGGTAGTGTCCATGCCTGGGGATGTGGAAAGTCATTCCCAGCTCCTTGACAGGTGAGGCAGAGAGTGCTCCAGCCCTGAGATCTGTGAATCCAGTCAGCTCCAGGGACTTCAAGATACAAACACTTCTCACATGGGATGGAATCAGAAAGTTTCCTGAACTTCCAAGTACAGGAGCCTTAGGAGCAGAGGGAGAAAGAAACCAATGCTCAGGTCCCCTGGAATAACATCTGGCAACATGAAACACTGACCCTTTGCAGCTGGTGGACAGTGTCTCAGTGGTGACTCAGGCTAACAGCATGAGAGCCTGTCCCACCTGCTTGTTTCTTGGTTCCAAGCTGCTGCACTTTTGATGGTCCCATCCAGGCTACCTAGAGAGAGGGAAACTGAACAACCAGAACTGCAGGATTGAATCTGCCTCAGTGACAACTGTGCAGACTCAGATTAAGGTTAGGATACCCTAAACTCCAGAGCTGGGATTACCATTCACCCCCTGCTAAAAGAGAGGTCAGAGGCTCCACTTCTGAGACAATGCCAGGGAGACTGGCTAGCGCTTCCTGCATGGGAAAGGATGAGGCCCTCAGCAGAGGTAGTGGAGGGACATGGGTGACGGGGAGTACAAGTTCCAGTGCAGCCCCAGGCTGGGCAGACTGGCTGGGTGAGGATACTGGGCTTTTGGACAAATATGCTCAACATAACTCAGCACCCAGACCTTAGCTGGTAGCTTCAGCAGAGCGGGAACAGGTGGACTAGGGCCTGGAGAAAGAGTTCTCCTCTTTTCCCTAGAGCTCCTCCAAGGCAGGGCTGAATGCCACCGGCAAGGCGCCGTGCGAGGAGAAAACGTGTCCGGGGAGGCCTGGGCGGTCCAGCCCGGGCCCGCGCAAGGGAAGGTCCCAGAGAAACGTCCCCGGTTCTGCCCCGGGGGGGGAAGGGGCGGCTGGCGAGCCCCGGGCTCCCGGGCTCCGGGGGCAGCCCTGCTCCAGCTGAGGGAGGGGAGCGAGGCCCCAGCACAGCGCCTGGCCCCCCGCCTGCCCAGGCATCGCCCTGCTGGGGCCGCTCCCCGCTACCTGCCGGACGCTCCCGCCGCAGGGGCCCGGGCCCGGGCCAGGCTCGGCTCCCGGCGGACTGGCCTCGCGCGGGCCGGCCAGGCAGGCAGGAGGAGCCGAGGGCGCGCAGCAGCTCGGGGCGCCGGGTCAGGCTGGCATCGCTCGCGTCCGACAGCCGCCAGCTCAGCCGCCTCCCGCCAGCCCCGCTTCCTCCTCTTCCCCTCTCGATGGTCCCTCCCGCGTCGCTCTCTCCGCCGGACCCCGCCGACTCTATGGTTCAGTGCGCGTGCGCAGGCCTCACGCCCAGAGCCGCCGCCGCTCCCTGCGCCTTGCAGCCACGCCCCGCCGGCCCTCGGCCCCGCCCCGCGCCCCGCGCCCCGCGCCGGGGCCCCGCCCCGGGTCCTGCCGCGCCGCGCCCCGGCCGGGCCCTTGCGCCGGCCCAGCGCGCGGGCCGCCCGGCCGGAGGCGGGGAAGGCGCGGCCGCGGGCGCAGCCAGGGGTGAAGCGAGCCGTCCCGCCCCGCGGTCCGGCCTCCGAGCTCCGGGGCTGAGGCGGCTTCTCCCGCGGGACCGGCTGCAAAAGCTCCCGTCGCTGCCTCCCGCAGCGGCCCTTGCCCTGCAGCGGCCGGGGCCGGCCCGCGTCGGCAGCGGGGGCCCGCGGGCCTGATTCCGCCGCTCGGTGTGTCCCGGGCCGGAATCCCGAGTCCGCTCGTCGCGGGCGGGCCAGCCACTGCCGGCGGCGGCGGCGCGGACCGATGGAGCCTCGCGGGCCCCCAGGAAGCCTCCCAAAAGACAAGAAGTGTTTGGTGGGAACGGGCTCCTGACACACCTCCGCTCAGCCGGGAAATGCCCACTTGCAATTTGCCAGCCCCGGTTTCTTCCTCCCCTGACCCTAGTGCCCGGCTCTCCCAAGGGAGGACACCAGTCCCATCTCCAGGTTTTTACTGTAAGCCTCTTGGGGCAGGTTCCTTTTGTTTTATGATTGTACAGCACCTGGCACTGAGGGGGTCTGGGTCCATGACTAGGGCGGGTAGGCACTAGGCCAGGGGTGGCCAATGTGAGCCTGAGAAGGAGCCAGAATTTACCAATGTACATTGCCAAAGAGCCCCAGTAATACATCAGCAGCACCCCATCAGCTCCCCCTCCTGCTCCCAGTGCCTCCCGCCCCCCGGGATCACCACATCCCTCTCCATGTCTCCTGACCACCGTGATCAGGGGGCTGGAGGCTCTGGTGGGGAGGGGAGGAGAGCAAGGGCACGGCAGGGGCGGAGTGGGGGCAGAGCAGGGGGTTGAGCACTGAGCACTCCCCAGCACATTGGAAAGTTAGCATCGATAACTGCAGCCCCAGAGTCAGCGCCTATGCAAGGAGCTGCATGTTAACTTATGAAGAGCCGCATGCAGCTCAGGAGCCACAGGTTGGCCACCTCTGCACTAAGCTAAAGGAAATAACAATAAAACAATGACAAGAAGCAAATACAGACTTGTACCTCACCCAAGAGGTGTCAATCTGCTGCCCCATATGACCCAATCCTGGGCATGTGGTACCCTCCACATCCTGTGACCCAATTCTGGGCTCCTGTTTCCCCTCTCCCAAGGCATTGCAGTGACACCCACCACCATTCAGGAATGATCAGTTTCACGTTCATGGGACACATTGCTGAGGGGGTGGGGGAAACCAGTGCTTAATTACTAATGAAAGAAGTGCCAGAACTCAAGAATTTTTTTACTTTCATAACTGACATGACAAGCCCGGACGTCTTGGGGCTCTGAACTGCCAAGGCCGGAGGAGATGGGGCTCTGAACTAGGGTGACCAGATGACAAGAACAAAATATCGGGACACATGGGGGGCAGCCACAGGCTCACCTCCCACTAGGCCTGGCTCCAGGTTTTTTTCCGCCCCAAGCAAAAAAAAAAAAAAAAGCCAGAGTGCCACCGAAGCAAAATATCGGGACAAATGGCATCCCGATCGTACATCGGTCAGGACGCGGGACAAACAACTAAATATCGGGACATCTGGTCACCCTACTCTGAACTGCCAGGGTGTGAAGGCCAGAGGTGCCGGGGAGGCTCTCAGGGTGCGAAGCCCGGAGGTGCCGGGGGCTCTGCGCTCCCAGGCCTAGAGGTGTGTGTGTGGGGGGGGGGGTCTGAGCTGCCAGGCCCGGAGGTGTGGGGCAGGGGGGCTCTGTGCTGCCAGGCCTGGAGGTGCGGGAAGGGGGGGGCTCTCAGGGTGCGAAGCCCGGAGCTCTGCGCTCCCAGGCCCAGAGGTGTGTGTGGGAGGGGAGGTCTGAGCTGCCAGGCCCGGAGGTGCGGGGGCTCTGCGCTCCCAGGCCTGGAGGTGTGGGGGGGCTCTGCGCTGCCAGGCCTGGAGGTGCAGGGGGGCTCTGAGGTGCGAAGCGCAGAGGTGCGGGGGGGGCTCTCAGGGTGCGAAGCCTGGAGGTGCCGGGGGCTCTGCGCTCCCAGGCCCAGAGGTGTGTGTGAGGGGGTCTGAGCTGCCAGGCCCGGAGGTGCGGGGGGGGGGGGGGTCTGAGCTGCCAGGCTCGGAGGTGCGGGGCGGGGGGGGCTCTGCGCTCCCAGGCCCAGAGGTGTGTGGGGGGGGGATCTGAGCTGCCAGGCCCGGAGGTGCGGGGCGGGGGGGCTCTGCGCTCCCAGGCCCAGAGGTGTGTGTGGGAGGGGAGGTCTGAGCTGCCAGGCCCGGAGGTGCGGGGGCTCTGCGCTCCCAGGCCTGGAGGTGTGGGGGGGCTCTGCGCTGCCAGGCCTGGAGGTGCAGGGGGGCTCTGAGGTGCGAAGCGCAGAGGTGCGGGGGGGGCTCTCAGGGTGCGAAGCCTGGAGGTGCCGGGGGCTCTGCGCTCCCAGGCCCAGAGGTGTGTGTGAGGGGGTCTGAGCTGCCAGGCCCAGAGGTGCGGGGGGGGGGGGTCTGAGCTGCCAGGCCCGGAGGTGCGGGGGGGGGGCTCTGCGCTCCCAGGCCCAGAGGTGTGTGTGGGGGGGGGGGTCTGAGCTGCCAGGCCCGGAGGTGCGGGGCGGGGGGGCTCTGCGCTCCCAGGCCCAGAGGTGTGTGTGGGAGGGGAGGTCTGAGCTGCCAGGCCTGGAGGTGCGGGGGGGGGAGGCTCTCAGGGTGCGAAGCCCGGAGGTGCCGGGGGCTCTGCGCTCCCAGGCCCGGAGGTGTGTGTGGGAGGGGGGGTCTGAGCTGCCAGGCCCGGAGGTGCGGGGGGGGGGTCTGAGCTCCCAGGCCCAGAGGTGCCGGGGGGGGGGTCTGAGCTCCCAGGCCCGGAGGTGGGGGGGGTTCTGAGCTCCCAGGCCCGGAGGTGCGGGGGGGGGTTCTGAGCTCCCAGGCCCGGAGGTGCGGGGGGGGGGTCTGAGCTGCCAGGCCCGGAGGTGCGGGGGGGGGTCTGAGCTCCCAGGCCCAGAGGTGTGGGGGGGGGATCTGAGCTGCCAGGCCCGGAGGTGCGGGGCGGGGGGGCTCTGCGCTCCCAGGCCCAGAGGTGTGTGTGGGAGGGGAGGTCTGAGCTGCCAGGCCTGGAGGTGCGGGGGGGGGAGGCTCTCAGGGTGCGAAGCCCGGAGGTGCCGGGGGCTCTGCGCTCCCAGGCCCGGAGGTGTGTGTGGGAGGGGGGGTCTGAGCTCCCAGGCCCAGAGGTGCCGGGGGGGTCTGAGCTCCCAGGCCCGGAGGTGCGGGGGGGGGGTTCTGAGCTCCCAGGCCCGGAGGTGGGGGGGGGGGGGTCTGAGCTGCCAGGCCCGGAGGTGCGGGGGGGGGGTCTGAGCTCCCAGGCCCAGAGGTGTGTGTGGGGGGGTCTGAGCTGCCAGGCCCCGAGGTGCGGGGGGGGGGTTCTGAGCTCCCAGGCCCGGAGGTGCGGGGGGGGGGGTCTGAGCTGCCAGGCCCGGAGGGGCGGGGCGGGGGGCTCTGCGCTCCCAGGCCCGGAGGTGCGGGGGGGGGGGGTCTGAGCTGCCAGGCCCCGAGGTGGGGCGGGGGGGGGGTCTGCGCTCCCGGCCCAGAGGTGTGGGGGGGGGGGGCCCCAGGCCCAGAGGTGTGTGCGGGGGGGGGTTCTGCGCTCCCAGGCCCGGAGGTGTGTGTGGGGGGGGGGGGGTCTGAGCTGCCAGGCCCGGAGGTGCGGGGGGGTTCTGAGCTCCCAGGCCCGGAGGTGGGGGGGGGGGGTCTGAGCTGCCAGGCCCGGAGGGGGGGGGGGGGGGCCCCCGCTCCCAGGCCCAGAGGTGTGTGTGGGGGGTCTGAGCTGCCAGGCCCCGAGGTGCGGGGAGCTCGGGCCCAAGTTACCCAGCTGCGGGGGTGGCTCGGCCCTCTATTGGGGAGGGCCCTGGGGCTTGGCGCGGTGCATGCTGGGAGTCAGAGGCCCGCCAGGGCCAGTCTTTCCTGGCGATGGCGGGACGTGACTCTGTTTCCCAGAGCGCGGTGGGGCCCGGCGAGCAGTGACGTGTCGCGTGGCGATTGGCGGTCGGGCCGGAGGGGGCGGAGCGTGCGCACGCGGTGGCAGCTGTTCTGTTGCGACAGGCGGAAAAGCGCGGAGGAGCCGGCGGCTGGTGAGGCGCGCGCGGCTGGGGCGAAGTGAAGCGAAGTTGACGGGGCCTTGCCGGCGTCCAGCCGCTGCTTCCCCGGCGCCTCCCGGCGAGCTGAGGCCCGGCCCCCGCTGGCGGCCCCGCCTCGGAGCCGGGGGTCAGCGGCGGCGGCCCTGCGGCGGCTCCTCCCGGCAGCTGCTCCGCGAGTTCTCAGACCGCGGCGCCGCTCCGGCCCTCCCAGCGCCCGCTGCAGCCTCGCGGGCTGCCGGCCAGGCCCCGGCCCGGCCCGGCCCCGGCCGCAGCGAGGAGCCGAGCGGCCGCGCCGATCTGGGGGGCCCGGCGCCTGGCCCTCCGCGGGGTGCGGGTGGCCTCGGAGGCGTCGGGGGTGAAGGCCTCGCTCCGAGCCCTGAAGGTGGGAGGACCCAGGAAACTGCGAGTGGCCCAGAGTTCAGAGGGTGTAAATTGTCATGGGAGCCCAGGAAAGGGACTCAGCCCCGGGGTCTGTGCCGGGCCTTGGCTTCTCTCTAACGGGGCTCTGCTTCCTCTTCCTTTCGCAACTGTGCTAGCGCTGTGACCTGTAGCCATGCCCTCTGACCTGGCCAAGAAGAAGGCGGCCAAGAAGAAAGAGGCAGCCAAAGCTCGCCAGCGGCCAAAGAAAACCCCAGAGGAGAATGGGGATGCTGAGATGGAGCAACAGGAGATGAAGAATGAGGAGGCCAATGGGACAGAAGGGACAGGTGAGGAAGG